ATAACATTTCAGAGCTACCTGCATTCCCTGATAGCATCTCTGCACCGACTTCAATTGGTGGCAAGTGCTGTGCTACCAGCAACAGCCTCCAGTTGCTCGTGCCAGGGCTTCAGTGCTTTTCAGCTAAAACACAGCAAGAGAGAAGGGTCTCAAGTGCAATGTGGTGCCCTCTCTACCATCTCTCCTCCCCTTCACTTGGGTGACAAGGCCACGCTTCTCTCCTGCATGAGCTCATATCTCATGCTAGAGAGCCAGATGGCACAGGAGTGAAGGCGGCGATCCAAGCTTTCGCTGGTAAAGCTTTACCCCTTGCAGTGGGCAGCACAAATATAAATCCATGAGAGGAGCAGGATTGCTCAGGAAGGAGCATTTTGGAGAGCTGAAACAAAAACCCAAGTAAAGCTGAAGATCCACAGTGTCTTAAGGCTGGAGACAGGACTATGGCAGAGGCCGTGCTGATAGGCAGCAAGTTATCAGCAAACAAGCTATTATGAAGCTCTTAAGAGTTGGTTGGAAAGAGATAAACCAGCCAGGGAACAAGGACTGCTCAACAGAAGTTGAAGGCAAGAGGAAATTTAACCTCCAGGTCCCCTGTAGAGTCAAGAAGTCACAATGAAGGGAGGAGGCAACCGCCAGACATCCCACAAGGAGTATTTATAGATAAAGAAACAAGGGCAGTTCCACTTTGAGTACAGCAGGCATCTGCTACCACAGCAGCTCCAGTAATTAACATGCTGCTCTCAGGACACCTGGCAGAGGTTTAGAGTCATAACTCACATGAAGCACATTGCTGGCACCAAGGAGCCCTCACCCATCTCCCTCCCCAGTGCCTTCAGGCAGGGAGGAGATAGCCTCCAAGAACTAAGAACTCCGAGGTGTCAATCACACCATATTGCTTGGTGTCATCAGCAAACCTGCATCAATCCCACTGCCCATGTATCAAAGATGCTGAACAGCACTGGTCCCAGTACTGACCCCTTAGGAACACCACTTGTCACCAGTCTCCACTTGGACATCAAGCTGTTGACTGCAACACTTTCAGTACAACCATCCAACTAATTCCTGATCCAGAGTGGTCCACTTGTCAAATCCATGTCTCTCCAGTTTGAAGACAAGGAAGTTATATGGAACAGCATCAAATGCCCAGGTAGATAACATCTACTGCTCTTTCCTTACACACCAATGCTGTAGCCCTGTTGTAAAGGGTATCCCCAAAGCTACTGACTTTAACTGGATCTAGAGATTTCTAAAGGCTCTAATCCAGCACCAGCTTTGGATTTTGTCTGCCCATCAGCTAAACAAGTGTACTTGTCCCAGTGGATGTCCTTGCAAGTTATGATCTTGCTGGGCATTCAATATACCCAGAAGCTCCATATGAAGCCCTGGAAAGCCAAGGCAGTCCAGAAGGGTGCTGCTCTCCTCTCCCCATCCTGACTCAGGCCTGCAGCCTGCTGTGGAGCTGACCCATCTCAGAGCACCAGAACTTTCCACTTGAGAAAGAACACCCTGCAAAACTAGTGGTTCTTCCTGTTAAAGCAAAGCAACCCAGGCAGAAGTGATTTCAGAAAGTCATTCAGAGCACGGATTGCAGTCCCTGGCACACCTGGGGAGTGCAGGACCACAGCCAGCAGCAAGCTTGCACTCTCTGGGGTAAACACACTTCCATTATCATTTTTCACAACAAGAGAAAGATGGAGGCCAGCAATAACCCCGAGGTGACTGGTATCTAATTTTTCATCATTGGAGTGTTTATGGCACAGCCATTTGCAGTATCTTGTAATCACTTTGCTGCCTCCTTGACCCCTGGCTCCCCCTTATCCTGCATCTCCTAATTGCATCTGAACAAGCAGGAGGGAAGCAGCAAAGTGGATAGAGATGCAGGAGAGCTGAATGGCTGCTTTGTGGTACTTGGAAGGACAGCAGAGGAGCTGCAGAGCCAGGGCTGGCTGTACTCACTGCCACCAGGTTGCTTTGACCTCCCAGAGGCTATGGAAAAGGAGCCTGACACTGGGTAACCCGGAGGAGTTGTTCCTCACCTCCCCAATTTATTAGCATGATATGAGAGATTAACGGGTTCCCTCCAAAGTGTGAGGGTATCATCATTATACACAGGCACTGACCACGATTCCTGCATATTCATAGCCTCTCTTGGCAACTACAACAGCACTGACATGGTCTACAGAAGCCCCTGGGAGAGACAGCACAAAGTGAGGGAGACATGGACCAGCATGACACAGATGCACTGAGGGCCCTGCAAACACACCAAGCTACAGACTGCCAGGCTTAGGAGCTACTTGGGTTCAGCAAGGCTGACTGCTCCTGAAGGCCACTAACCCCTTGTCTGCCATCACACATAGCACCTCCACCACTAATCAGCTGTTTTCCATTTAATTTTCCCCATACAAACATCTCAGTTGAGTTTCACACAATTCCTGGAGGATACAGCTTCAGGACAGCATCATTCCATTCACTATGTCACAGGCAGGATTTGCCTTGAAGCAAAGAAATGTCCCACACTTTGTAAATACCTTGCAGCAGCACCAAAGCAAGAGATCAAGCCTCATAGCCTGGGGTTACCAGTGTGCCTGCTTGCTCCCAGCCTCCTTCCTTTGGCTCCCCAGTACAACACACACCAAATTGGTGCAACAGGCTTCGGAGATCAGCTCTGCCTGAGAGCATTATATCGACTTCAACTTACAAGATAAATCCCAGCTGCATTATTTGTATTTATAGTCCTGCTTACAGAAGCATGAGCCACATGTGGGATTTGCTGATGTAGTCCAAAAATACACATTTTTGGATAAGAGTGTCAGTGATCTCACCCAGACAGAAAGCACAATTTAGGAGGATGTTAGGAAGTTGCAGACTTATTTCGGAGTTTGCCCAGGGCTCTTTCCTCCACAGCCTCTGGTAAGGTTCAGATGGGCACTGACTGCACAGTTCTGCAGCCCTGGTGCTTCCCACCTGTATAGTAGGGAGCTAATGATGATTTCAGGGGAGGAGAGACCAAGAGTACTGTGTTAGTGGTGGAAAATGCTGATGAGGCAGGCAGGCAGCAAGGTCAGACCTCTGTTTAAAGCCAAAACTGGTGGGAAAGCACTAAACTAAGTACTAGGAAATATGCTGCTGAGATAAAGGCTTGTATTGCACCTCCCAGGGCAGTGCTCAGCTGACTTAACAGGTCTCCAACTGTGGTTTCCAGGATGCTGTCGCTACCACTGCCCAGAATAACACTGCACAGGGGGAAATGCATTTATTACTTATGAAATGAAAGGTCTGCGAGCCTGCTGAAACAGTTGAGTCAAAGAAAGGGATTTGGGGAGGTTCTTTTTAAGCCTTTACAGCTTGGAGTGGTGAGTGGGTGATCACAAAGAGATATCTGTTCTGACACCTGCCCGGTTTGGGAGAGATTGGTTTCCAAGAGAAAGAGAACAGTGTCAGCTTTGGTGCCTTGCTGCCCAAGTGAGCTTACTCCAGAGGACAGCTTTACTTAGGCAAAGAAGCAGTACAGCCTCCCAGCCTTGCTGAGCAGCAGGGGCTGTACTTGGAGCCCAGTAAACACCACTTGAGAGCTCATTCCTGTAGGACATGCACAAAAGCAAACAGAGATACACCTACAGCCACTTCTCTGCCCAATTCACATAGCTGCCTTGCTTTGTGCCCACCACCCATCACCACATAAAAATCAAGCACTGAAGTGTGCAGGACACTCTTCTAATGGGGAAACCAAGTGCCCCTTAACTCACCAATGGCCCGTCACATCAGCCACCTTGCTTCGGTTAAGGGCTGATGCCTGCAGCACATCTGGCCAGGCACACAACCAACAGCACCTTTCCCTTCTGTGCAGCCCTTGCCAACAACTGGAGGGGGCAGAGAGGAAGCACTGGCCCTTTGGAAAAGCTCAGCATCCAAGTGACAGAGTAACCCAAGCTTTGCTTAAGGAAAGAAAACACTTCTCAGCTCTGCAGAAAACACATTCCTGTCCCCTGCACTATTGATTTTCCAGTGAAGAGACAAGCTAATCCTTTAAAGTTAGCAACTGTGAGACCATGGATTGAAGCAGCTTCACTACTGCACCAGAGACTGACTTCTACCCAGCCCTAGCAGCAGGGAGCCTTGCCTTCTGGCTGATCTTTCTTTGACTCAAAATGCCATCAACTACAAGGAAAACAAGGTAAAAATCACACACCAGAAGCTGAGCTCCTGCTCTTAGGTCACTACTACAAGTTTATATCCTACTTTGCAACACTGCACTTGTCTGCCTCTCTTTTAGCAAGGAAAAAAGTCTTACTCCCAAGGATAGTTATTAGGTGAAGTTCCTTTTGCATTAGGAAACACAAGGGGTGTGGGAAGCTCCCAAAGAGCTGGTTTAATCTCTCACAGGCATATGACAAGTGAGCAATCGAAAGAATTTATTGACAAGCCCACAGGAGAAGAATGAACGGGGATGAACAAGGCAGGATTTATGCCATATTAACAAGGCTGTGTGCCAATTGCTACCTTATTAGTTTCACAATAAAGCAAGCTGAGAATTGCCTTCCCGTCCCAGACACCATTTATTTGACATGAACTCGGCTCCTGTCCTTCTTCAGCCACTTCAGAGCAAAGCAGCAATTAATACACCTTACTTTTTGGGAGCTGACTTAGATAAGAGGTATGAGAAGACTCCAATGAGCCCCTGAGACTGGGCTTTTAGCCAAGCAAAGCTGTATTTCAGAGGCACCTGTAACAAACAGTTAGGGCTACTGATATTTATGTTTAATGCAGTACTAATTCCTCTCTTGCCACAGCAGTAGCTCAAAACTCAGGTGCCTGTACATACAGAAATGGTATAATATTCTGGAGCTTTGAGAGGCTTTTCCCCCTCTTTTGAAGGCTTGCAGAAGCAGCAGCTGCCTTTTTCTGCTGCATTTGTTTCTATTTCTATACGAGCATCATAATAAAACACATCAGAGCATTTGTGTTAAGATAACGCAGTATCTTTGGCAAGGAAGTCTTACCAGGAATAACTTCTTACAGGATATGCAGGGTGACATGCTAATAGTGCCCCAGTCCTGCTGCATCCTTACTGCAAAGCTGGGGGAACCTGGAACATAACAATGCTACAGTTTATGTGATTTATTTAAGCAAGATGATGGCTTCACACCAGCAGATGTGAAGGTCCTATCAGCTTCTCTGGCTCACCCTGGGAGCCCAGGGCAAGCACCTCAAACCTTTCTGATTGATGAGTGTGAAATGAGCCCTCCCTGCTCCTGAAGCAGGTACCTTCCCACCACCAGTTCTCAAGGTCCCTAGACACTGAGACCTGTAAGAATAAATATCCAGGAGACAGCAGCTGTGACCCATTTATTACCGGATGCTGCTGCAGGGCACAGCTGAGGAAGGCAGGGCAGAGGAAAAGCACTTGCTGCAGAGGGAACAAGAGGAGCAAACCCGGGTGTCCTTGGAAGAAGTGCTCTGCTGGCAGCACTGCTCCAGCTCTTTCTCTCCAACTCCCAGTTAGCAAGAGACAGCTTAGATGTAGCATGGATGTTCAAACACTGCCATGGGGGCTCCCATCAGATCACTGGTGGAAGGTTAATAAATAAAAGACAAACAAAAAACAAAACACAAAAAAAGCCCACAGAAACCAAAAGGCAAGCACAGAGAGGCTACAAGAGTCTCATGCACTGAACAAGCCCATCAAACTCCCCTAGAGCAGGCAACTGTATTTGGAAAGATGCATTTTGATAGCAAACACCACAGGTACCTTTAACCCAGAGCAGGGGGTACACGCAGCACAGTGAGGAAGGACAAATGCTGAGGAGGGAAGCAGAGCACGTACACCAGCAGCACAGAGCACAGCCCTACAGCCGACGAGGGCCGGGAGAGCAGCACCGCACGGAGGCGGTCGGGATCTACATCAACACTTATCAGTTCAGCCTTTGCATTTGCTGGCACTGAGCAATTGTATGTGTGTCCTCAGACTACCTCCTCACCCCCCTGCACAGCCTCCTGCAGCCACAGCCCGGCCCTGCTCTGGTCACTGGGTATTGTGATCAGAGCATCGGGCCAGGGTGACATTGTCCCCTCCTGAAGAGGAATGGAAAGCGCCTGCAAGCCTGCTCGTTTTATTCACTGCACAAGCACGTTTCCAACTGGGATAATCTCCATTAAACCATCTGCGCTCCCATCTTCGCTCGGCCCGCACCCGCTGGGCTGCCCGCGATGCTGCAGCATCTGTGAACCGGCAAAAGCGGATGCCGCGTCCCTTTCCCAATCAGCTAAAAACCCAGCAGAGACTCAGACAGAACAGATGCACTTGGTAGCTTTGACACACTACAGAGCCAGGCTACCAGGAGTACCTGTGCCAGTGCCTCTTCTGAAAGGCGTACGGCTCCCCCTGATAGTTTAAAGCCATTTCCTTTCCATCGTGGGAAGGCACCATGCCCCAAACTGCCAGAAGAGGAGGGCTGAGATTTTAGCTACATTGGCTGCCCTGGTGCAGAAGAGAAGCACTGTGTGCCAGGTCATGAATGCATTTTGGATCAGACATTCCAAATGGCTCTTGATCCCCAGGATTTAATCTCATATTTATCTCATAGCTGCTTTCTAGAAACAGGGACTATCATGTCACATTCCTGCATCACTGGAACAGAGACAAAAAAGCGTTATGATGAAAGATCTGAAACTTCAATCCACTCCCCATAGCCTACACAGAAGACGCCAAACCAACCTTACAGCAAGCTGATAAAACAACTTGGATTGAAGCATGAATTCGGCACGCAGAAAACTTGACCCTGTCCTTAGCATTGCCATCGAGACAGCCAAGGCACTTGGGAGTCACTTCAGTTGTTGAGGACATGACAGCATGGGGAGAGATCTGAAGCAAAGATAGAAAGCCATCGATCCGCTTTAACGGTAATCAGTGCTTGCCTTCAACAAGGTCGCAGGGCCATCTAACACATGCCTTTCTTCCAGCCAGTTTGCCCTGCATGGTCTTGCCCTCAAAGGCAAGGAACAGCAGTGTCTGGGTTCAGCTGTAACAGTGATTTTCCTCCTTCCTAGTAGCTGGTGCAGTGCTGTGTTTTGGATTTAGTCTGAGGATAACACTGATGGTTTAGTTGTTGCTCAATGCTGCTTACTCTCATCAAGGACCTTTCAGTCTCTTATGCTCTGACAGTGAGGAAAGGCGCAGGAAGCCGGGAGGGAGCACAGCCAGGACAAAGGGGTATTCCATAACACATCACATCATGCCCAGGATATATACTGGGGGGAATCACCCAGAAGGACCAGGTCACTGCTCAGGTCAGGCTGGGTGACCGTCGGTGGGTGGTGAGCAATTGTATTGTGCATCACTTGTCTTTATTGTTTTTCCCTTCCCCTTTTATATTATTTCCCCTTGTTATTTCCCTTATTACTATTATTAGTAATACTTTTATATTGTACTTCAGTTACTGGAATATTCAGATCTCAACTTACAGGATTTTACTCCTACATTCCCAAAGAAGAGGCAAATATTAGGAGCAAATGATGGCACAAGAGTGAAAACCTGTTTCAGTATTTCCTGCACTTGCCTTCACTTATTTGTTTTGCAAGCCTTTATTTTACAAGGCAATTTACAAACAAGCAGCAAGACAACCATTTGTTCAGACAAAGGTTAATAGGGGCCTAGTGGTCTCTGAAGACTCTGCAGTCACGCTTAGGTGTGAGATTTTGGAGTAGCAATAAAGATGCTGCTCAGACAAGCAAGCCTCAAGAGAAGAATTTAATCTGTCTAAATATTCTCATTATGTACAGAGTTTTCAGCTTCCATTCACAGTGATCAGAGCAGACACAGCTTCCAGAGGCCTTTTTGGACAATAAAGCGTGAAATAGGATTTTTACATCAGTCATTATGCCCCTTTCCACCTCCAGCTCAAAGAGTCAATGTTTGAAATGGGTTTTTGTTGAAAAGAGCAGTGCTGGGGGAGAAAGAGTCGACAGGAGGAAAGCAGCACAGACCTTTGGCAGACCGGTGGTACTTGGCAAAGAGAGCTCCCATTGGCACCATTTTCCAGAAAACCTCAAATAGATTATTTCTCCTTACAAGTCCAAAAAAAGGCTTTCTGTGGGGTCATGCACAGAGTTAAGAAATGTAGCACTACGTCCGCAGATGTGCTTCACTGTAGTGTGCAAGAGGTTCTAGTTACATGCCCCCCATCTTGCTCCTAAAAGTCACTTAGACCTAAATACATCACTAAGATGAGGTGAGAAAACTAGAGGCGGACATCTAGGACAAAAGGACTGATCCAAAAACTCAGCTGCTTTCTTTTGGGATCACAGTGTCCATCTGTCCCCTTGCCAGAGGGGAACATAGTCTGCAAAAAGAGACCTTGTTTGTCCACTGGAACATAGAACCTGAATTATGCCAACAAGCAAGCATTCAAAAAGTAAAGAAGCCAAGAAAACAGAGCAAGTTCTCAATGGATATGATCTCCTGGGATCAAGAGAACAGCTATGCTCCTGACGCATCTCACCCCTCCTCATTTTCATGTTGCCTTTTCCCCTTCAGACAGGCAGGTTTCAGCTTTTCTTGCATGTTTAAAACTCCACTTCTACACAGAAGAAGCTTGGATAAAATTTTTAGAGATAATTACAGTGTTTTGCTATTAAATCTTTTGCTTGAAGTCAAGCAACTTCCTACCCCCATCCTCTCACCTCCAGGTTACTCTCAAAGTGTAAGAGCTCAAAGTACTGCTCACCAGTTCACACTGCTAACAGGACAGGGAACATATTAATCAGCACAGTCACTGCACAGGCAGCCCAGACCTGAAGCCAGCATCAGTACTATGGTCTGCATGTTTGATAATCCCTCTCAAGGGAAGCCATCATCATCACTGTTTTCTAGAGAATAAAACGGAGTGGGACCAGCAGAGCTGGAGGTAGAACAAATCCCAGTTTACTCCCATACCCATCCAGGAAGAAGCATTAGAGACCTTAGCAGAAAAGCACAACTTGGAGGTAATGCCAACACCCAGCAGGGTCCTGAAAATAGTGAATGTGGGAATCACCCCCCTCCAGTAACCCACCACAGACTGGTATGTTCCAGTATCTGAAGAGGGCCTATAAGGACACCAGAGAGGGGCTCTTCATCAGGGATTGCAGTGACAGGACAAGAGGTGATGGGTTTAAACTTAAACAGGGGAAGTTCAGGTTAGATAAAAGGAAGAAGTTCTTTATTGTGAGGGTGGTGAGGCGCTGGCATGGGGTGCCCAAAGTGGTGAATGCTCCATCCCTGGCAGTGTTCAGTGTTCAAGGCCAGGCTGGACAGAGCCTTGGGTGACATGGTCTAGCGTGAGGTGTCCCTGCCCATGGCAGGGGGTTGGAAGTGGATGATCTTCGGGCCCTTTCCAACCCGAACCATTCTATGGTTCTGTGTTCTCCCCAGAACAATCCCTGTCTATGCCTAAGAGGAGCAGGAGAAAAGCACCAAACCACTCATCTCAATTCCTGAGCAGTGAAGGATTAACCACTACCAAAGCCTTTGCAGATATTTATTCTCCAAAGCCATACGAGCAGACAGGCAGAGGGAAAAGCTCCTCTGAGAGCTATGTACACAGGCAGCAAGTCTAATGCTTACACAGCCTTCATTTATTTTTTTCCCAAGTCCTAAAAACAATTATCTTCATGAATTATAGACATAATATCCGAGAGATGCAGGCAGTAATTAATGTCTGTCTGCCTTTTCTGACTAGCTCCTTCTGCTGGGTCAGAGAGAGTTATTGAAATGCAGGAAGGAAATCTTCCATCTCCTGGAAGTTTTAAAGAAACAGACTAAGACACAATTTAATAAAGCAATAATATTTCTCTTCAATAATTAACTAGGCTTTGACAGTCACTAATATCCCGAGGCCCAGCTCTTCCTTTTGCAATAACGCTGGGACAAGTGCACTCAAGGATGTGATCCCCTGAATGACTAAAATGGACTAACTGCAAAATTGCTTTGGATACCTCCTACCCCTCGATTTCTCTGCACACACATGGCCATAGTCATTCTTTTTCCCTAGAATTCTCACTGAGACCCTTAACAGAAGCCACACCATGCAGCACCTGAACACCTCCCTCTTCTCCCTTTGCCCTACTAACATCTGTCTTCAGGGATGAGCACTCAACCATCCCCAAGCTCAGGAGAAGCAGTTTATCATCCTTTGGGAAAAACCTTGGTTTCACAACAGAACCACAGCAATAGACAATGCTAAACTAGACAAAGCTATTGCTAAAGCAGCATACAGCACTGGACAATGTTTAAGTTGGTTGTTCCACCATCTCTCATGAAGCAGATTCTCTTGCAGCATAAACAGTTTGATTCACAAAAAGGATGCACTCAAGAGAGTATAATATACTCCAGTCTATTGACAACAATTACCTCCAAGCAACAATTACTTAGCCAGCCACTGGAAAATATCCCACCCTTTGGCATGTACATATCACCTGCTTAAGCAATATAAAACTACACAACAGTAAGACAGAACTCGGCTTAAACTCAATCATTCTGATGGCCACCAAATTAAAACACAGCCATGTCACCAAGAATAAGGAGGGGGTCTGTGGCCAAAAATGTCAGACTGAACTAAGAGTTTCACACCTCTGTTGTTCACTTGAGTCACATTATCTCTATAGGAAAAAAATTCCTTTCCACTAGAAGCAAAGTTTCAATGGGAATAATGGTGACCCCAGTTTCAGAAACTCACCAGATACAGTCTGTAAGCATCGATCCGTCGAATTGGCCCCCAGCACTTGTCTGTATCGTTGTACTTTGTGCCATCTCCAACACTGCAAGAATGGTTGCCAGTGGCACTGCTGGGAAAGGAGGGAGAAACAAAAGACAGTCATTCACTCCTAGTAGATGATTTCCCCTCTCCTGCATTCAGGACAGAAGAATGATCAGAAGCCTGAAGTGTCCATTCCTCCTCTCCCCTGTCCTTTCATTTTCAAGGCTAACAGAGCAAGTCACCGAGTACCATACGCTGAAAGGCAAAGTCCTGAATTGCCTCCAGTCACTTATAAGCTTGGTCATTTGGTCATCAAACCAGAAGTTAAGGTCACTGCAGTTTTCCATTCCCAAGTCATGAGTTCAAATCCAGCCCAGATTTGATCAAACCAATCACTTTCATTATCTGTTTTGTTGAGAAAGGAACTGGGCTCAGTCCAGAGCTAAGTCCATGTAATGCCATCACTCACTGGTCACAGCCTTGGTAAGCATCACACCTCTCTTACCCAAAGAGACAGAGAAGCTAAAATCCTGCACACAGAACTGCAATCTAACTACTGAGCAACAAGTCCCATGTCTGCAGGTGTTGAAGCTGCAAGTACTTCACACCTGAGGACTCATCTGAAATCAGGTCAGCTGCTTTTCAGGCAGGCAGCAGGCACTCAGGTGGCGAACATAAACCAGCTTCATCTTCCCATCCACAAGTGATGCTGAGCTGTCTCCACTCCATTCTTCAGAAAGCAGAGCTGATCCCAGTCACCCATCAAATCCAAAAGTCTGCTCTTTCCTGTGTTAGCACACAACCCCGCAGCAGTAAGTGCACTTACCAGGTCACTTGCATGAGAGAGACTGGTACAGCTGCTGCGTAGATTGCCAGGTCTCCATAGAGGTAGATGATTATGCAGAAATAGAAGAGGTTGACACCCACTGCAGGAAAAGGAAATATTGTACAGGCAGCAGAGCACTTTAAATACAGCAAATGAAGTCTTTGAGAATACATCACCATTTGCCTCTATAGTTTACTTCTTTCTGCAACAAACTGCACCCAAGGGTCACATCAGCAGCTCAGGGGACTTAGCCAGAACACAGGAACTGACAGGACACGAGGTGCCTCAAAGCTCAACTCTGCCTCCTTCAACACTTCTTAGCCCTGACACTAGACTCTCTGGTTCAAGCCCCTGTTCCAGTCACTGGTCAAGACCAGCAGGTCTCAAGTCATCTGCCAGATGAAGCTGTCAACATGGAAGAGCTGCAGGCAAACATCTAGCTGATGCTCACAGACCTGGTGTCAGCACAGCTTGACAAACAGTGAAATGGAGAGAAGAGCCTTTAGTGTCTGCTGATTCCAAACCCTCTGTCTGCCAACCTGCAGGACCTTCACAGCAGAGATTTGGCTCTGCACAGCTCAGGTTCCACAGGATTGAAATGGAGCTGCCCTGGGAGATGCTTTAGCATCAACTGCTTGAGCCAAGGTTCAAACCTGCAAAGCCCTTTTATCCTATTGCTGCGGTGTTCACTGTTCCTGCCCCTGACTGTTTTCTTTATTGCTTTAAAACCTTGCTTTGTGTTCACCTGTGAGATCAGAAAAAGTCTTACACAAGTTAACTGTGTGGACAGAACAGCCTTCATGGGGCAAACCAAGACAGTGCTGTGGAGGGAGAAAATCTGCAGGGACAGAGAAACACTTGATGAGTCCCTTGGATTCCTTTTTTCCAAGCAACTCAGTATAAATCTCATCAAGAAAGAGCAAACTGGAACTTATTTTAGTTCAGAGACAGGCGAGCTACAAAAATACAGAAGAGAAAAGCCTCGGATGTGTTTCATTTAGGAAGTTGACATTGATGGAAAATAGCTCAAGGAACCTGTCCACACTTTGAAGTTGTGATGCCACCTGATGCTTAATCCTAATGCAGCTTGAGCAAATCAGTTCTCCTCCTCCAGCTTTGCATGTGACAACTATCAAACAAGGGCAGCAGTGCTGCAGGAATGCAGAGAAATATCTCCACAGTGCTTGGATGCCCTTAAGTTTTACCATCACACTGTCCCTGGATCTCTGCATGTCAGGAAGCATTAATAGTCATTCTTCTTTGTTTAAATAAATCACTCAATATGCTGAACCTAAAAAAAGGCTCTATTGGGAAAGCAGCAATAAAACTTCCCTGCTTCTGTAGAGCCACACACTAAGCCAGGATTTTAGAGTTGTTCCTTGTTTGAACAGACAAATGGAGATGTTATAGAAATTGTCAGATCATTTCATGCTGTTCCCCCTTGTTCTCTTCCTCTGCAAGAGATTTAAGATGGTTTCAGAGTTAAGGAGTCTCTGTGTTGTTCTGAATGTGGCAACAAATGACCTACCAGTAGTTCTGTACAATTTCCCACTGAAAAGGGTTGAAGGTTATAACAAATATAAAGCATAGAACAGAAGCTGCAAGACACCCTGAAGCACAGGGTTATACACACACAGATAGTCTGCTTTGGGATGTGCTACTCATCTCAGGTAACACCCCCCCAAAAAAGTAAGTCTAACATGACCAGCTAAGCCCCACCAGCACCATCCCATACCCACCAGCACACACTGTATCCCCGTTCCAGTGCAGGCTTCTCTGTGGGAAGTCCAAGTGACATTCCTCTCCCAGTCTCCTCCTCTCAAATGCAGGAAGACTTTAGCATCAGTTCTTTTATAAACTGCCTCTGACCCTCCCTGATCAATACTTTCATTACTGGACACAAAATGGGCAAGAATAAAAGAAAATCAATGACTTCCTGTGAGGAAACAGCATGGTAAATGTGCCTAGAATCCATCACCATAATAAATCACTGCTTGGTCCCAGAAGAAAGCACCCAACATTGCACCTTAAAAAAGCAAGCAGTTCTTCGGAGCCAGCTCTTTGAAAGAGCACACAAACCATCACGGGCTAAACCGAAGTCAGCTCCCTTTAAGAGAACAGACAGTTTGAAATTGAGATTTATCCCCAGCTTACCTCCCAGGACTGCAGATTCAACTGCTGTCAGGTTCTTGAAAATAAAAATCAGTCAAGAGAAAGCAGCAGAGAACTCGTTGGAAATCAGAGGCTTTGAGGTCTCCTGCAAAGCTTTTCACCAGCTATTCCCCCCCACGTGAAGGCTGTAAAGCCCTCAAACACCCCAGATTTGGATTTTTGCTTTGTATACCATGAGCAAAAACCCACCCAGACACTGAGTAGCTGTGAAACTGCAGAGGTTGGTGCCTGGAACCAGGACTTCTCCAGTACAGCCTGCTTTCTTGGCACTAAGCAGGACTGGTCACTGACAAACTGCCCTTACTGAGTGCCTTTCTGTACAACCATCACCTCAGCAAGGATCTGCAGAGGGAGGTACTTCACTTGTTTCTTTGCAACCACCGCTCAGCAGACCAGAGGGTGTCTCTGAACAGCAACAGACTAGGGATGGAGCCTCATTGCTGAGCACAGAGGATGGGAAAGCAGCAGAGGAGTTACAGATGCCTTAGACCCTTTGCTGGGTGCACCTCATCTTATTTGGAAACCACAAGTTGTTTCATAGAATCAGTAGTATCCCAGACTGGTTTGGGTTGGAATGGACCTTAAAGCTCGTCCAGCTCCAACTCCCTGTCATGGGCAGGGACACCTTCCACTAGAGCAGCTTGCTCCAAGCCTCATTCAACCTGGACTTGATGATGGTTTCAAGCCATAGACTGCTGTTCCAGCTGCCTTCCTGCAAAAGGATTCATCCCTTTCCCCTGGAGAGGATCCACAACACAGAAATCAGATAACTCTGGCTAAAGCAACATTAAGACAAAGGATTAAGAATTAGAGTCCTAAGCAGTTTATACCACTTAGCTAAAGCGTACATCAGTGCCTGACAGAGGACGTGTATTTCCAGCACCCTCTACAGGCTGAGCAGCTCCCAGCAGCAAGGACTAGAAGGCAACCCCTGGCTGGCTTTGGGGAGTGGTAACCACCTCCCCTGTGAAGCACATACAAAGCAGGAGCCTTCTGTGGGAGCTCTCTGCCTCCTGTGATCCTGCCCTCCTGCAGATTAAAAGGCTTCTACAGCTGAATCCTCAGCAGTACTGCTAAGACCCGATACACAGTGCTTACTCAAAGCACTTCCCAAATATCACTCCCCAAAGGATGAACAATAGACAGGGAAGTGTTCACATTGGCAAAGCACATAAGCAAGAAAGCTTGCCTAAAGTCAGAGCAACCCAGTACTCAAGCACCAAGACATTCCTAGTCCTGTTTTGGACCAACCCCAGTCTCCAACCCACACTCAGGCCACGTCACCTCTCCTGTGACCAGAAAAGTGGCAGCCTGATCCCACGTGGATAATTTTGACAGTCCTAAGCGAGTTAAATCTACAAAGGCCCAGAAGAGACATGCAGGGAAATGAAAAAGTTGTTTTTTTTTTCCAATTGGACTTTTAAATCAGAAATAATCTAGTTCAAAGACTCCTCACTTTAATCCCAGCTGTCCTTCAAAGGCAATGGACTTACACAGGCATAAAGCTGATGTAATGCAGTGGAAAAACCCAGCCCATCGTGACTTTGTGAAGTGGTCAGTGAGCAAGAGAAAATGTCACTTTCCACAAGAAATGGGGCCTGACAGGCTCAAAACTGCACAGCCATTGTGTCTCTGATGGTTTCCTGGCCCTGCACAGCATTTCAAATTGGTTTACAAGTTTCAGGATACCCAACATTGCAGTTTGCATTTCTATCACATGCAGCACTGGATATGGCTTTATTGCAGTACAGTTACAAGTTTGTTCCCTGGCATACAGGAGACATTTAAAAGCAATAAGACAAGACAGCTACCTATCAACTGCACACCTTTCAGTCCTTCACATCCCAGCAGCTCTCCTGGTGACTCCCCAGACACAAGCAATTCTCAGAAGCTCTCCCCAGAAGTGTCTCTCCTTCAGACTGATGCAGGGTCCAGGGCAGCCCAAAGACCTTGTTCTCAAATGCTACAGCCAAGATGGAGCTAGTGAATTCTACAGCTGGGCTCTACTGCTTTAGGCAGTGGAGATCAGAGGACAGATGCACTTCAAAGTTAGATTAAGGGCAGTCAGAAAACCATCGACTTACACATATCTGTCTCAAGGAACTGGACCCATAACCTGCAGTATTTTGGCTAGTTCCACTACACCACAGTGCCCTCCCCTTCACGCAGGTTCAGGCCACATGGCCTATAAATCATTTACTTTGTGGAAACACCACACAGGGGGATGAAGGCAGCCCACAGAGAGAAGAAATGTCACTTTAGGGTGGAATCATCACAAACTCAGGATGTAAACCCACAGTGCGAAGCACGCAAAGTAGGGGAAAGCCATACACACACGTGCCAGAGGACCTGAAGGGACTGCTGAAAACACGAGTTACTCACCTTTGTTGAAGAACATGGAAGCCATCTGGCCCATTTCCACCCTCTCAGTAATTTCAAAGATATTGGGGGAGCCACGTCTCTCTGCAAGTTAAAACAAGAAGTGTTTCAACCCTTCAGTAAGCCCTGAGGCCAGATTAAAGACACTCAGGAAGCTCTAGCAACAATTTGAAGGACAGTGTGTACGACTCACACCTGCAGTCACTGGTTCAATTACTCTGCTGAAGCTAGTTTAAAAGTGTTTCAAAAATAAGATGTTCTCATCTTAGTGACCTACAAAGAAGAGATCTTTATCAGACTGAAAAAGGCAAAGTGAATTCTCAATGAGTCTTATCTTGCAAGTGCTAAGGACTGTGGGAGGGAGGTAAGCATGTGGAATTAAGGGTGAAATGGACAGAAGAGTCCTTCCTGTTCCACTTGCTGGAGCCCACTGGGACACAGTCTGCAGACAAGAGATCTCAGACACAGTGAAAGCATGAAGCAGGTACTTACGAACTGACAGGATAGGTCGTGTCTCTGCTCGCTCGTAGCCGTCTTGGAGGAGAACATCAGTGTCAGATACACCAGAGGAAGAATCCTCATCCTCATCATCCTCCTGGAAGAGAAGCCCAGATCCCTCTGCTGAGATGTCTGTTACCCACATTACTGGCTGCCATGGTCTGACTCCCAGAAACTCAAAGGAATGTGCCAAACAGGGATGGGCAGGACGTGCAAGCAAAGGCAAAGGCAGGAAGCCTTGGCCCAGGGTTTGGATGCTGCAGGGAGCAGAAATGAGGTCTGTCTCCCAACTCTAACCCACTAATGTACAGGCAGGGATCCAAATGAATGCAAACAATGCCTCATGCTGATCCAGAAAAGCCACTAAAGACAGGATCCAAAAAGCCATAGGTAAGTTTTACAGCAAGAAAATACTTCAGGACTATCCATTTCCTGGGATACAGCCCAAGTGACAGCAAGGATGTGCCAGCCTGTCCCAGTTAAATGACCCAAGATCAGTAAGGATTTATAGACCTCAGTACACTCCAAATGGCACCAATATATTGGCTGCCACCTCTCCACATTCACTGAGCAGCGCTTCTGGGCAAGGAGAGCACAACCAGTTAAGAAATGAGAACAACACAAGAGGTTTTTCAAAGCAGGAGCAGAAAATCCTGTCTTTAATGAGCAACCCCACAGGGAACTAACAGCCCTATTTCATATGGCAAAGTTAAGTACAGCAGAAATTTACTCCTTTAGAGTTACTAATGAGGCAAAGATGCAGAGGAATCTCATGCAAGTCCTACATGCTAGAAGAAGAAGAGAAAGCCCACACAAACCTTGCGTTTCTCCATTCTCTTCCATCGCAGCTGGGCATTTGCAGCAGCCATGGCTTCCACCACAAAGGTTGTAGTCATATAACTGGAGAGAGAAACTCAATTGGCATCAATAATAATCCAGAACTGTCACAAAAGGGAGATGAACAATTATTCCCGTCTGTAAGAGCAAACAAACCAGGACAACCCTTCCACCTGCTCCACACACACACTGCATTGCTGGTACAGTGTTTCATCTCTGCTGCTCCCTCCTGTTCTTCAGATGAAGGCATCACGCAGACAACAGAAAGCAGCAGAACACAACATGCCTTCAGATATAAGAAGACACTTTAAGTGTCTGTAAGGCACCTTCCTACTGGGCTGAGAAAGGCAAGAGGACTTCCCCATTTGTTAGAAAGCAAGCTTCCTTCCTCTTATTAGGGTCAAGGACAAACACAGTACTATGCTGAAGCTTATCTGTTAGGGCCTGTGGCAAAGGTACTACAGTCCAGTAAAGAATCTTACAATTGGCATCAGAAGCAAAGCAGCAATCCAAAAGCAAGGAGTAGATCATACGTGTATGCAAATACACTTTGCTGGAGGCCAGGGGAAAAGCTGTCCAGCAAGACAGAGAGAACCACTAATGGGAGGAGTATCATTACCTCAGCTAAAAGCAGTCCTTTAATACACAAGCAAACTAACCAACCTTACATTAACCTTATTTTAAGCTTTAAAGTGGTTTCTCACTGCTTCAGGAACCAGACTCACTTATCAAGTTCAAATGAGAGATTAGCTGTGCAAGAATAAAAGCAAGCAGCCCTGTCCTGAAGCCCAATGTCTGCTTAGGCTCTTCTGGCACTTGAAGGGTCCCCAGCAAGCACAAGGAAGTCACAAGCACCAGAACAAAAGCAATAGGGCAGCACAGCTCCCAAGGCACAGAGCTTCAAGCTGTGCCTTCTCAGTTTAATCCAGAGCACTTTTGGCATGCAGGTTCAGAGGCTTGTGCTCTTCTGCTGACCCTGAAGGACAGTCAGCTGGTGCTGAGTGCCATACACTGCATTTACACTGTTAAACTAATGTACCTAAGAGGAATTGCTTGCAAAGGTCCCAATTACTTGTAATCCCACAGTTTATATTTTATTAAGCCTTTGCAGCATTCAGCTTTGAGGTGGCGAAGTTACAAACATTACTACAATCAATACTGACCATAGAGTACCTCTATATAGCAGCACCTAACAGATCCAAAAAGCACTGCCTCCAAACCAAAGTTGGTTACTGGCAAGAAAGGAACTTCTAAATTCCATCTGTACAAACACCAGGAGGGGGTTTGGGTTTATTTTACTTTAAAACCAAGCAGCCTGTTAGAATATAGCAATTCTATTAATAACTACTTAGACATTCGTGCTGTATCAACAGCCTCCAGCTCCACCTGCTGCTCCAGCAGGGAGACATCTGGGCAGAACCTCATGGCAAGCCAGCATGGAAATCATGAGACTAGCTCCAAGGTCTCAAGCAGGAAAGGTCTGAAGGGGGATAAGACAGGCCCAGCTATAGAGTAATTTGTTTCCCTGCCACTCTTGCAGTTGCCCAGAGCATTGCCAGAAGCCAAGAGAAAGCTAACACAACAGGTCTGCACCATACCTTCAAGTCACAAAGTGCAGCAATGACCCTGTGTCATCTGTGACCTGGTCAGTGCTTGGGGAACTGATCCAGGACAGAGGCAAGAGTGGGATGTATCCACAGTGAGGACAGTGTCAAAAAGGGAAACTGGGAGAAAGGAGACTCTGGACTAGAGGAAAAGCCTTTTCCATCAGTCAGGAAGTGGGACGTAGCATCACCATATTGCAGCATCCTTCCAAACAAGGTCCACAGGCAACAGAGCTGCCAATTGCAGTGCTCAAGCACCAGAGGTACAGGCTCACTTAGCAAAGCACCAGAAGCCTTAGCACTGCCCTTACAACTCCACCAAACTGAACTTCCCAACCCTCCAAGGCCACGTACTCACGTCCCACCTCATAAATCCCAGGAACATGAGGAGGACAAGGCTGACGAGCCACCCTGCTGTCGCAAAGGCCTTCGGCATGGTCAGGGCTCCTGTTCCAACGATTAGGTTGAACATGTAAACAAGACCAACCTGAAATCAATCACATAATCCAACATGAGAGCTGGCAGCCACGCCAGAGATCATCCCAGACACCTCACATATGTACTGATTTAAATGGAGAAAGCAATCTTTGAGCAAGCAGGATGGGAGCAAGCCCCTGCTACAAATATAGGTAAGAGGGGACTGACAACCAAAGTGAATGTCAGCATGTTTCTGGAGAAACTGATATTCATCTCCATCTTTCTAATTGTTTTTAATGTGTTTTCTTTCTAGCTCTTAAAGTTAGAAAGGATGTGAACTGTTTTTGTTTTCAAATCCACTGCCTTCTAACAGAAGGGTCTACACTATGGGTTGGGGTCTGTCCTTATTTTCTGACCTAAACCTAAGCAGTTAGGTTCGTACATAAGTTACTTTCAGAATCTCTTGTTCCTCTTTATTTAGTCAAGCAGAAAACATCCAAACACAACTCCAACTGAAAGCCTGCTCGCTATTTTAACACACTCTGAAGAAGAGATTTTACTTCTAAAGGGAAAGGATTTTCTCCTCTCTGCCAATGAGCTTTTTTCTGCCTAAGGGCAAAAGATAATTGTGCACCTAGACAGGACCCACCGGACTATAAATTCAGTTGAACTCAGGGTCAAAAATTGCCTCAAAGTTGGTTTGTTTGGTTTTCATACTTAAATATATAGGTCAGAGCCTCTCCAGGGGCCAGCCAGTAAAGAACTGTGTCAGAGTACACATTTCTAGCTGTGGAACAAGTAATACCAGGAGAACTATTCCCCTGTGAGCACTCCTGCCCTTCATTCCCTGACATAAACACAGCAAATTCATCTTCTGACCAGTCCCCCAGAATGACAAGGGTCAGCTATTGTAGCTTGCAGAGCTGTCATTCCTTAAGTGCTCAGGACCACGATACCCTCTGCAATGAAGGACTCCTGTAAAAGCACCTCAGGTGATTCTCCTTAACTTTGGTCAAGTTGACAGAGATGAGAGTGGTGCCAGTGTTCAACCTGGCTAAACACCTTCAGGGAAAGATGAGAGTCACAGCCTTTGAGATGAGGCACTAGGAAATTCATGCAGCACTAACATAACAACATAAGAGCAGGTGACACTAATCCTTTAGAGTCTGGATGCCCCAGTTATTGTCTTGTTCTCCTTCTCAGTTGTGACCTATTTCTGCAGCCTAATATCCAGTTCTGCTAAATTCAATCATTAACATAGGGATGAAAGTTTTAAAGTATTTGAAAACCAACACACAGGTTTCAGGACTGGTTTTGTATTTAGTGAACTCACTTTAGAAAGAAAAACAAAGAGAGTTTGCCAAGCACTGTTTTTAAAAGCTGACACTATATGAATACTTGTGGCTATGAAAAACCAGTATTTCCAGTAACATAGGAAAGCACTAATTGGCCCTGCAGTTTCACAGGACACCACATTACAAGGAAGAAACATCCCAATTACTCATTTCAAGTGAAGTGGTTTAAAAGCAATTAGTACAACAGCTAAAAATAAGTAAACTTTATCTAATGTTTTCCCCTGGGTTTCTTAATGCAAAAAGAAAGCAGCAGCAAAGTGGGATAGTTTCAGTGTCTCACACATCCCCATGTTTATGGTAGCTTCACGGCACAATTTGGGCTAGGGAAAACATAATGGAAGTCAGTAGAAGGATGCAAGAGCTAGTATGGGATATGAAGCTCTTTTACTTTTAAAACTACACCTTAAGCAGACATTATTCCCTTATATAAAGGATGACCTGTAAGCAATTTTAATTACGCTTTAGCCTCCACCATCTCTTGAAACATTGAGGTTATGCCCATGGGGAGGTAGGAAATGAAAATACAACGTTGAGAGAAGAGGATCTGGAAAACACTTGTGAGCAAACCCACACTGAGCCATACTTACATAGGGAGAGTAAAGCTCTCCTGTATCCGTGATGCTGCCAGCCATGCTGACCGCAGTGGGGAAGCTTGGAGCAGAGAGAGGAGGGTGTTCTCAGGAGGGTGTTTTCAACTTCTATTGCCTTTAACCTTAGGAAACATCATGAAATTGTGTTAGCTTTGTCACGGGAAGAACTCACAAGTCAGCTTTTGCCCACCAATCTTGTGATGTTTGAACAAAATAGGGCTTCAGCAGGACTTTGTGCTCTGCATGCAGCCCACTCGGGTCAGCACAAAAAGCTCTCCTACTTGTTAAACTAGTTTAAAAGGAACCAAAAAGCCCTGCCCTTCCACAGCATGTGATGACCAAACTTTTCCTTCCCCAAACAGCCAGAGGGGCCGTTTCAGACACTAAAACCTCAAGAGGAAGAATGCCTGCCTTGAGGATGAGCTCACACCGCTGCTTCTCATGCAGCTACTACTCATAATAGCAGGTGTCTCCTGCAAATCAAAGCAGGAAAACCAGCCCACAGTCTCCTTTATAATCTCAAGGAGAAAAATAAACAGACCTATGAAAAACACCCCAAGATGTTTTGTTACACACACCAAGGTCTCCAGAGCAGAAGTACTTAGGGAACTTCACGTTGTGTTAATAAAACTACAAGGGGAAGTGAGGCCCTGAGCCTTCTGAAAGGTTTCAGGGTCAATAATTAGCCATAGAAGAGTTTTATCAAACTCCTTATACTTCTGCATATGTTTCTACCCTGTCATGCCAACTGGGGCAAATCATCAGCACAGCTTCACAAGCTAAAGGGACCAAACAGCCCGTGAGCTGTATAAGCACGGGCCCATGTACAAATACACCCCCAGAAGCCAGCAGCCCACCAGCATCACTCACAGCGGTCACAACCCGGCCGGCCCTCAGGGGGAGAGGCCAAATACCTTCATCTATCCCAAACCCGCCCTCAAGTCACCGAAGCCGAGCTCAGCAACCCGCCACAAGGCAGTGACACCACGGCCACGCCAGCATCCACCTCCGGGATAAGCGTGCTCCTGCCGGGCACCCACCCCAGCCCGGAGGGGCCCTGCCAAGGCTTCCAGAGCCCCCCAGCCCTGCCGCTTCCCACCTTCCCCGGGGAAGCTCCCACAGACCCTCATACAACACCGAGACACCTCCCATCGCGGGACCGGGACCGGGACCGGGACCGGGACCGGGACCGGGACCGGGACCCCGGCCATGCCCCTCCGCACCCCTCACCTCACACCGCGACCCCCGGCTGCACATCGCGGGGCGCCCATGGAGCATGCGCCAAGCACGGCGGGGGGTGTAGGGCGTGGAGAGGGAGCCTTCCGCACACGTGACCGTCGGCGGGGCGGGGCCATGATGACAGCGCCGCTCCGGTTCTGCGCTTGCGGAAGGGCGACGGGGCAAGGTAGACATGGCCTCCGCGTGGGGCCTCACCGGCGGGCTCTGCTTCCCCTCAGCCCCGATCTCCCTTCAGCCCCGATGTCCCCTTAGCCCCGATCCCTCTCGGCGCCAGTGGCCTATCAGCCCCGATGCCCCCTAAGCCCAGATCTCCCCCCAGCCCCAGTCTCCCCTTAGCCCCGATCTCCCCTTAGCCCCGATCTCCCCTTAGCCCCGATGTCCCCTTAGCCCCGATCTCCCCTTAGCCCCGATCCCTCTCAACCCCAGTGTCCTATCAGCCCCGATGTCCCCTTAGCTCCGATCTCCCCCCAGCCCCGATCTCCCCCCAGCCCAATCTCCCCTTAGCCTCGATCTCCCTGCATCCCCGATCCCTCTCGGCCCCAGTGTCCTATCAGCCCCGATGTCCCCTCATCTCCGATCTCCCCCCAGCCCCAATCTCCCATTAGCCCCGATCTCCCCTCATCCCCGATGTCCCCTTAGCCCCAATCTTCCCTTAGCCCCGATCCCTCTCAGCCCTAGTGTCCTATCAGCCCCGATTTCCCCTCAGCCCCAATGTCCCCTTAGCTCCGATCTCCCCCCAGCCCCTTGCTGAAGTGCTGTGTTAAATACGAAGTGTTAAGTGGCCTCCATCAGGGCAGACCCCAGCCACCGTGGTGCCTCTGAGGGCACCGATGGAGCCCTGCCCTGGGTGGGGGGAGCAGGGGGATGCCGTTGGTCTCTGTGTGAGGGCATTGGTGTGAGCTGCACACAGGGAAAGTGACCACTGCTGCATCCCGAAGGGCTCCAGGGACTCCTGAGCCATCCCTTGGCCTTGCTGGAGACACGGAGCGGGTGCTGACTGCAGAGGCCATGAAGATTAACCAGAACACGGTGCTGCAAGGAAAGAGGGCAACCCTGGTGCCGTACATGTCTGCGCATGTGCCCCGGTACGTGGCTCGTGTCCTCTGATGCTGTTGCACAGTCTGATCTCACTGCTCTTTTTAAAGGGCACATGGTGGTCAGAAAAGGTTCTGGCTCGGCCCTCTTCCCCCTGGGAAACACACAGCAGAAGGAGTACTGAGGAAACCAATCAGTCCTGCCCTTCATGCCTGGCAGCAGCATCCCTAACAGGTCTGTGCTCTTTGCCAGGTCTGCTGACAAAGAGGACTTCATGTGTGTGCCCATGGAAAGGGAAGAGCCTGGCTGTGAGTGAGCCACCAACAGTTCTCTTGCTCGTTGATGTCTTTCCTAATGATAGTGGAAGAGCAAACCTTCAATGTGTAAAGCCAGGTGGATGTTTGATAAATTAGGAGCAGGCATGAAGGCAATTTGTACAATGCTGACCCAGGCAGCTGCAGCCTCAGCACAGAGATGCCAGTATTAGTCTTTTTGTCAGTGTCCAGGAGATGCTCTATCAATCTCAGTCGGGATGAAATGCGCCGGAACTCTGTGCTCAGTACTTTTAAAGACATCAGTCACTCTTCAGACAAAGCCACAGGATGGCCAAACTTGCTGCATTTCCACAAAGAACACCAATTCCTGTGTTAGATAAGGGAGAGAGACTGGTGGACGCTTTTTAAGTTGCCATAAATGCCAGGCTGGTGTTTCCAGAACCACTTTATGGCAGTCTGATCCTCAGAGGGCTCATGGAAATCAGACTGTGATGCAGTAGCTCAGGCAGTGATGTGGTTTTGGGTCCCATTGCCAGGTACCACGAGTGGATGCAGTCAGAGGAGCTGCAGCGCCTGACAGCCTCCGAGCCCCTCAGCCTGGAGCAGGAGTATGAGATGCAGTGCAGCTGGAGGGACGACACAGACAGTGAGGACCTTAAACACTTCTGAAGGGGGGTGGGAGTGGGGAGCAGGTCCCTTCTGTCCTGTGAAGGACCCACAGTGGGCTGAGAGCACCTGGTGAGTGGGTTCTACCTGCTTTGAACTGCTTTTCTGTTTATAGCTGGTCTTTACTCAGGGAAGTAGAGAATGTCTGGGGCTGCTGATGTCCTTTTAATGCAGTTTTTTAAAGATCACAGTGATTTATTTCCCCCAGCTTTATGTGCTGAGCTGCTCCTGCACAGTCAAAGCTCCCCAGGTCTGATCATCAAAAACAGGTAGAAAGGAGTTGTACTTTTCCTTGAGAAATTGAACTGCTCTAGAATTACCCACTCGAGGTGTGCTGGAATTGGTTCCCTGGCTCTCCTACAAGTAATGAATCACTGCCCATAAAAGCCTGGTAAAAATATAGCGAGCCAGAAAATAGTGAGGCTGACAAAGACCTCAGTGTGGAGCATTTGTCTTAGCTGGCATTAGAAGCCATACTTAAAGCAGCAATAATACAGACTAGATGAATCACTAGGTCTCAGCCCCTTGTGCACCAAACAGTTCTTTGCCTGAACTTGCTACTGAGTGAAACAAGGCAGGGAGACCTCAGGCTGGAAGTTTCCATGCTCTTTAAACAGGCTGTTTCTGATCTTGGTGCCTGCACCACCCTCACAAGGGGTCTTCAAAACGTTTTGTACATCTGGATGGATGGGAGCAGGCACACTGGTATGGGAAGCTCAATTATAAGCTCTTCCTCATTGTTAACACATGGAAATCTGTTGTTCCTCTGTCCATTGCGTGCCTTTAATTTCATCCTGCAATAATTTGTGCCCTGCAAACTCTGCTATGGTTTTGTTTTCCCCAGAATGTACCTTCATTGTGCTGGACACGGAGCGGTGGCCCGGGCAGGCGGATGAGGACTGCATGGTGGGGGACGTGAATCTCTTCCTCACTGACCCTGAGGATCCGACTTTGGCTGAGATTGAAATTATGATTGCAGGTCCAGTTGTGCTTCATAGCTTAGACCTTTGTTGCTGTGGTTGAAGCCAGCTGCAGACAGAGGCTGTGTACAGAAGCTTTTTAGTCTCATTGCATTACTATGGCTGTTCACTCCTGAGCAGCATCCTTTGCTGGGCCCAGTCTCTTCTGCAGTGTGGCATGGCTGATTTGTCTCACCCAAGTGGATGCTGACTTCTGTGGCTGTCTCTTTCAGAGCCCAGCTACCGAGGCAGAGGATTTGGCAAGGAGGCAACTCTGATGATGATGTCCTATGGTAAGGGTGGCTCAGTGCATGGCAATGGGAATACAGTTGGGATGTGATCTAGAAGCACATATCCCCAGTGACACAGGCTGCCTCTGCCCCAGGAATTGGAGTTGTGTGCTTTCATAGATGTTGCAGCCAAGCAGGTAACAGTCTGATTTCTCTTGCAGGTGTGAGAAACCTGGGCATCACTGCATTTGAGGCTAAGATTGGCCAGGAGAACGAAGCCAGCATCTGTATGTTCAAAAAGCTTCATTTTAAAGAGGTAAGAGCCCCTCTTCTATGCAGAGAAGGTGAGCAGAGTTAGCTCTGAGGCTGGGATTGAGTTGCTTTCCCTCTGTGTGATACAGGTTGCTGTGAACAGCGTTTTCCAGGAGGTGACACTGAGGCTGGAAGTCAGTGACCAGGAAAGACGATGGCTGCTGGAACAGACAAACCATGTGGAGGAGAGGGGCTATGTTGAACTGAAGCTGCCAGCTGAGGTGCTGGAGACCTGATGGACACATCCAGACCCTGGCCTTGTTTCCAGGGAAGAGCTAGACGCTGTTGTGAGCTCTGGGTGTGGAGGACACCAGTGAGGCAGTGCTGAGTTTGACTGTTTTCATGTCTCTTTGGCTACTTTGTCAGCTTGTCAGCTTTACACCTTGCTGAACCAGCTGGGATTACTGCCTGAGTTCGGGACCTGGAGAACAGCCACTAATTCGCAGGCTTGACTAGGAACGACTCTAACCTCAACATACTGTTCCAGCAGAGCCTCAAATCACCAGCAGTCAACTGATACCTGGTGCCACCAGTTTCTGGGCAAGCAGCACCTGCTGTTCCTTTTCCACTGCCCTTGGAGCAGGATTTGCTGGTTAAACACGGGCAGGCTCAGTCAGTTTTCTCTTGAATTAAAGAGATGACAAAGATCTGAGAGGCAATGGGGCTAGGCTGCTCGCTTTGGCTGCTGTAAAGGACAGCAGAGACTCTTTGAACCCTATTTTCTGGGGTGCAGGGGGGCACTGTGGGCTCCTGGAAGTGAAAAGCCTACGTGTTGTATGTGATGAAAACTATTGATATCAGCCAACTGAGACTGGAGCAGAGCCATGCCCGGATCAATCCCTGCAAACAGGGGGGCCTGGCAGCTACAGGACCTGGGAGCAGGAGGCCACCAGTGAAGAGGTACTGCACTGTTTGACCAGGCTGCTGTTATGAGAGCAGGAAGGAGGAGAACACAACTGAAAGGAGATGGAATAGAGATCCCCTTCTTCAAGGGCCTCAGGACTTGCTCTGCTGAGCCTGAAGTCTCCGTTTGCTGCTCTCCAGTAAGATGAATGGGGATGGAAATACCACTTGCTGGGCCCAGATCTGTTTCAAGCAGTTCGCCAGCTTCCTCTGTGGTGTAGCTGAGGTCCGTGGCTGAAGAGGAGGCACTTGCCTGACTCCCCCTGGACAGAGCTTTTAATGCAGTTATTTATCCTAACCCTTCCTACCCTGCACAGCGTGTCCTCCACTGCAGGGGAGCTTGCTGAGAGCAAGAAGACAGAAGGAAAGGCGGATAACTGACGCTCCTGTGTGTTTTCCCGCTGGAATAGCAGCCGTAATGGCTCATTCTAGGCCCGAAATTAAGTGTTCCAATTACACAGTATCAGGTAATAGCTTCCAGATTTGCCCAGGGATGTTTTTATCAGACTGTGGAATTTTTAGCGTTGCTGTGCCTGTATTTTTAGGGCCTGGGGGATTTAGTTCTCCAGTTTTAGTTAAACACATCTTTCCTGTGACTAATATTAAAACCAAGCGTGGGAGCAGTGTATCATGGTCTTTTAAACAACAAGTATTCAGCGTGGATTTAGTTGTTGCAAAAGCTTTGTAGTGTAACCAAGTGAAGAGCAGCTCTCCTTCCAGATAGGATTACCAT